ATGATTCATCCACTTTGGCCTCCCAAAGTGCTGGGATTACAGGTGTGAGCCACCACACCCAGCCAGGTTTGCATATTTTTAGTTTATATAAATGTTATCTGGTGCTTATTGTGAAACTTGCTTTTTTTCACTCCATATAGGTTTCTGAGATTTATCTGTATGGATGGATGTAGTTCAAGTGCATTCTTCTCAAAAGCAGAAAAGCAAGTCATTGTTTCATGTAAACAGTCCCTATGGATGGACATTTACATCATTAATAGTTTTTGGCTTTTATAAAAAAGGCAGAAACAAATATCTTTGTCCATGTTTCCTTGTGCACCTGTTACAAGTGTTTTTATAGATGTACCTAGTAGTGAAATTTACACAATCTTTGACGGTACTTTAAAAATTGTTATACATTTAAAGATTACTGGTGTTCTTTTTTTTTTCTCTTTTTTTTTGTGAAACAGGGTATCACTTTGTTGCCCAGGCTGGCGTGCAGTGGTGTGAACATGGCTCACTGCAGCTTCAACTTCCCGAGCTCAAGTGATCCACCTGCCTCAGCTCCACAAGTATCTGGGACTACAGGCATGCACCACTACATCTGGCTAATTCTTGTATTTTTTGTAGAGATGGGGCTTTGCCATGTTGCTCAGGCTGGTCTCAAACACCTGGGCTATAACAATCCACCTGCCTCAGCCTCCTAAAGAGCTGGGATTACAGGACTGAGCCGCCATGCCCAGCCGCTAAAGAATACTGGTATTCTATATGAACAGTGGTTGGTCCTTAACCAAGCTGAAGCTGGGGAACATTTTTTGATATATATCTTGATCTCTACAGACCTGATCTCTTTTATTTTACAGAAATTAATGAGCCTAAGGAAACACGTGTGGGTTCTTCTGACACGTCCTCCCAAAGCCAGCAGAAACAGAGTGGTGATAATGGGTCAGATGGTCACTTCCCACACCCAAGAGAAGACAGGGAAGATCGGGGCCCCAGGTACGTGGGCATGCTGCCAATCAGTGTGCATTTACGAAGTAAGGCAAATGGCAAAAGCACTGCCTTGTGTGGATAAGGAAATAGAGGCTGGTAGAGATTGAATCGCCTGCCCCGTGTCTGAGAGTGAAGTGATGATGGCCCTGCTTCTGCCGCACAGCTCGGCGCACATTCTATTCAACTTTAAAGCCAGACCTGCAATAGGAGCAGCAGTAGTTCCTGATGACACCATTTAAAGTAGTTTTATTAGAATATACATTGCAATTTTTAGGCTAGGTACAGTGGTTCATGCCTGTAATCTCAGCACTTTGGGAGGCTGATGTGGGCAAATCACAAGGTCAGGAGTTCGAGACCAGTCTGGCCAACATGGTAAAACCCCATCTCTACTAAAAATACAAAAACTTAGCTTGTTGTAGTGGCGGGCGCCTGTAACACCAGCTACTTGGGAGGCTAAGAGAAGATAATTGCTTGAACCCAGGAGGCGGAGGTTGCAGTGAGTCAAGATCGCATCACTGCACTCCAGCCCAGGTGACAGAGTGAAACTCCGTCTCAAAAGGAAAAAAAAAAAAACATACATTGCAATTTTTAAGAATGCTGAAAATAGGCTGGGTGTGATGGCTCACGCCTGTAATCCCAGCACTTTGGGAGGCCGAGATGAGTGGATCACCTGAGGTCAGGAGATTGAGACCAGCCTGGCCAACATGGTGAAACCCCATCTCTACGAAAAACACAAAAATTAGCTGGGTGTGGTGGTGCATGCCTGTAATCCCAGCTACTTTGGAGGCTGAGACAGGAGAATCACTTGAACCTGGGAGGCAGAGGTTGCAGTGAGCTGAGATCGCGCCATTGCCTGGGCAATAAGGTGAGACTCCACATCAAAAAAAAAAAAAAAAAATGCTGAAAACAATATCGGCTTGTTTTACGAAAAGAAGAAGAAAAAGAAGAAAGAGAAAAAGAACTTAAAATAGGTATCAGGCATATAGGGTGTTATAGAATTTCGGGCAGGAAAGGATGTGGGAAAGAACTTTGAGAATATACTCACAGCTGACAATTTCCAATAAACTTATTCATGTTTTCCATTTTAACAGAATGACTAAAAGTTCTCTGCAAAAACTCTGCAAGCAGCACAAGCTTTATATTACTCCAGCATTGAATGATACACTGTATTTACACTTTAAAGGTAAGGACCTAAGAGAGGAAATGCTTCATGCCAGGTGAAAAGATTCTGCCTAGTCATATAACAAATTACTTTCAGGGATCATCTTTAGTACTCAGAATGTATCTAAGCAGGAAATTTCAAAGTTTAGTGGAGATTTATAGAAAAGGAATAATATTTCCTTCAAGAAAAAGTCTTGCCTGACCAGAGTTCACAAAGCAGACATTGGCTATATGAATACCAAGGAAACACACTGGTATCTTTTATTATTGTTTACTCATGAACTTTTTTCCTTATTTTTTTGAGATAGTGTCTTGCTTTGTTGCCCAGGCTGAAGTGCGGAGTGCAATCTCTGGTCACTGCAACCTCTGCTTCCAGGTTCAAGCACTTCTCCTGCCTCAGACTCCCAAGTAGCTGGGATTACAGGTGCCTGCCACCATGCCTGGCTAATTTTTGTATTTTTTAGTAGAGGAAAGGTTTCTCCATGTTTCCCATTCTGATCTCAAACTCCTGAGCTCAGGCATTCTGACTGCCTCAGCCTCCCACAGTGCTAGGATTACAAGTGTGAGCCACCATGCCCAGCCCAGGACTTTAATTTATCATACCGGAAAGCTAGTTTGTGGGTACTGTGGGCTTGGAAGGGCTATGTTGGGAAGGACTGAAGATTGATGTTGGAAACAAATGATGAGGATCTTTGGGTGCCTCTTATAATGGGGAGGCATGAACAGGACCTAGGGCTGGAGTCCAATATCACATATAAATGGAAGCTCAGGTTCACAGGCAGGGCTTTTTCCAGCCTGAGAGCTCCCAGTCTGTGCTGATAGGGTGACCAACTTGCTCAGCAGTCCTCTGATTGTTCATTTGTTTCTTCAGTAGATGCTTGCCGAGAGCCTTCTGTGTGCCCAGCCCTGTTGAGTGCTGAAAATACAGAGAGGGAACCGGCAAAGGTGCCTTTGGTGTCCTGGGGGATGTGGTGCCTTTGGTGTCCTGTGAGGTCGGTGCTATGCCAGGGAGATGCCCAGAGGGCTCCAGCAGCACAAATATCTTCAGGGGTTGGAACAACATTTAAGGGTCTCCTCATCTCCACTTTTGCCCTTTCCGAATTCCCCACCCAGCATCCAAGTGTAGCAGACAGACCCTGGGGGAATGGATACTTAAGCAGCGGGAAGAAAAATGGAACCAGTAAGTTTGACTAAGTAGAGGCAGTCAGAGAGGTAGAAGACCTAGGAGAGAGAGGTGCCAGTATTAGTTATTGGTTGCTACATAATTAATTACCCCGAAACTGAGCAACTGAACTCATTGTCTCACTGTTTCTGAATGCCAGGAACTAGGGAGTGATTAGCTGGGTGGTTCCGGCTCAGGGTCTCTCATGAGGCTGTAGTCAGACTGTCAGCATGGCCTCGCTCATATGACGGCTTGACTGGGGCTGGATAATCCACTTCTAGGCTCTAGACCTCACAGCTGTCAGGCAGAGGCCCCAATTTCTCACCATGTGAGCCTCTCCCTGGCAGCTGGCTTCCGCCACAGCAAGTTGCCAAGAAGGGAAGCAAGGCCAAGACAAAAGTGGAGGTGACACTATCACTCCATTGTATCAGGATCACTCCTGTCTCACTGCAGTGCTAACAGGAGGGTATCGATACCAGGAGAGTCATCCAGAGAGCCTGAGGAGAAGCTGGGAGAGGGGGCGCAGGGCCCATTGGGCCAGATACCTTGGAATGGTCAAGGGCTAAGAGGACTCACAATAGCATGTAGCAACTAGGATCTCACGGGAGACTTTAGCCAGGCGGTTTTAGTGATGGTGAGATCCAGGGGGCAGCAGCCAAATGGAGATGGCTTGAACAGGCAAATTGAGGTCTTTCCCAGCAAAGGGGAAGGAGATGGGGCAAGAGCTGGAGTGAAGACCAGGGAGAAAAACCAGAATGTCAAAAACCCAAGGAGACAAATAATCCAGTTTCTTCATCAAAAAATTGTAATGGAAGAAAAAGAGAGAGAGACACCCACACAGACACTCTAGTTTAACAGTGACTTAAGGCCAGGTGTGGTGGCTCATGCCTGTAATCCCAGCACTGTCGGAGGTCGAGGTGGGCAGATCAGGAGTTTGAGACCACTCTGGCCAACATGGTGAAACCTCCTCTCTACTAAAATACAAAAAAAGTTAGCCAGGCGTGGTGATGCATGCTTGTAATACTAGTTACTTGGGAGGCTGAGGCAGGAGAGTCGCTTGAACCCAAGAGGCGGAGATTGCAGTGAGATCAGATCGCACCACTGCATTCCATTCTAGGTGACAGAGCAGACTCTGTTTCCAAAAAAAAAAAAGTTGATTGGGCACAGTGGCTCGTCCCTGTAATCCCAGCACTTTAGGAAGCCAAGGTAGGCAGATCACCTGAGGTCAGGAGTTCAAGACCAACCCGGACAACATGGTGAAACCCTATCTCTACTAAAAATACGAAAATTAGCTGAGCATGATAGCACGTGCCTGTAATCCCAGCTACTTGGGAGGCTGAGGCAGGAGATTCGCTTAAACTCAAGAGGTGGAGATTGCAGTGAGCCGAAATCATGCCACTGCACTCCAGCCTGGGCAACAGAGTAAGACTCTATCTAAAAAAAAAAAAAAAAAAAAAAGTGACTTAAGAGACATCCACTAGTTACAAGGTTTCGACCTTATTTTTCTGTTGATTCAGACAGTAAACAGTTTGGAAAAAAAGACAACAAAGAAATGTGACCAGTAACAGGCTATTTGAGGACATTGAGGAACTGCTGTTTCGCTGTCACAGTGGTGTTGCGGTTATCTTAAAGACAAAAAGTTTCTATCTTTTAGAGATGCTAACTTCAGTGTGATGACCTTGAAGCAACATGACAAACACTTCCACTATAAAACTTTTTGTGGAGAGGGATTGCGGGGAGGGAGAGCATCAGGAAGAATAGCTAATGGACACCAGGCTTAGCACCTAGGCGATGAGGTGATCTGTGCAGCAAACCCCATGGCACACACTGACCTTCGTAACACACTTAAAATACCTGTTACGAATTTTAACACGTATTTTAAAATTGAACGTGAACCCACACACTTAAAATAAGACTTGAAGGAATAAAATAATAAACATTTTCCTGGAAAAAAGAGAGGATTAAAAAAAATCTATCCATACAATACCTAAGTTTAAATGTATGTTATCACTATGATAAATATTCCATATGCTGATAGCAAGCTTGGAAGGGGAGAGAGAAACATGAAAACAGATGGTCTCTTGGCAGGATCGTGAGTGCACTTCTTTTTATTTTGCTCACCACAGATATTGAAAATTTTTTAATTAAAACCTTTTCAGGCAACAAAGTAACTTTAAAGAGTGTTGGTGGTAGTAGATGGAGCATGAATTCCGCATTGATGGTGAGTTACTAAAGGAGACTAAAACGTTTGTTTCCCTAGCCCTAAATTTGGCTCATAAAACTGAAAAGAGAACAAAACAAGGCCCACGGTTTGCACTAGAGTTAGTTCTGGTGGGGACATTTTCAGGGTAGCGTTACCCCCGCCGCACCCTCAGCCCCACCCACTCCCCTCCATGAAGGAAGCAGTAGGCTCCACCCTCCCCGGTGGGTGATTCCGGCAGGAAGACTACCAGTCGTTTCAGCAAGGAGCCCCTAGGATTCATCAAAGCTGGTCTTGCTTGGCTGAGTGTGACCACCCCAAATGAGTGAGGTGGCTCTGAGAGGCTGTCCAGAGAGCCGTCGGGTGATATTGGGAGCAGGATGGTCCCTCCAGGAAAAGTTGATACTGGAGGAAGGAGGCGTGGATGCCAGGTAGGTAGGTGTCTGCGCCCGTGTTGAGCTGCTGTAACAAGATATGACATCCTGGGTGGCTTATCAACAACAGAAATTTATTTCTCACAGTTCTGGAGGCTGGGAAGTCCAAGGTCAAGGTACTGGCAGGATGGGTGGCTGGTGAGAGCCTGCTTTTTTATTCTCAGATGGCACTTTTTTTTTTTTTTCTTCCTCAGAGATGGGGTTTCACCATGTTGGCCAGGATGGTCTCGATCTCTTGACTTCGTCGTGATCCACCCCCCTTGGCTTCCCAAAGTGCTGGGATTACAGGCATGAGCCAGCGTGCCTGGCCTCAGATGGCACTTTCTTGCTGTATCCTCATATGGTGAAGATGGCAAAGGAACTGCCTGGGGCCTCATTTATGAGACCACTAATCCAATTCATTCATGAGGGTTCTTCTCTCATGACCTTATCCCCTCCCAAAACTCCCATCTCCTAATGCCATCGCATTAGGGGTCAGGATTTCAATGCATGAATTTTGAAGGGACACAGACATTCAGTCCCTCATAGTAGGCAAAAACAAGGGTGGCCGTGACCCCTCTGTCCTGTGAGTAGGAGCCTAATTCCCTCGTGCTTCCTTCTTGTTAGGATTTGACCGCATTGAGAACCTGGAAGAATACACAGGGCTGCGCTGTCTCTGGCTGCAGTGCAATGGAATACGGAAAATTGAAAACCTGGAGGCCCAAACCGAGTTGCGTTGCCTCTTCTTGCAAGTGAACTTGCTCCATAAAATCGAGAACCTGGAACCTCTGCAGAAATTGGACGCTCTTAACCTCAGCAACAATTACATCAAGACCATTGAAAACCTCTGTAAGAGTACCCAGCAGTGTTTCTGTTTGCCATGTGCCCATCACTTTCCCCTGAGGGAGGCTCTGAGATTTTATATTATGGGCAAGAAGTGCTTTTGGTTTTGCTTTGCGTTGCTTCTTTTTGAGACAGGGTCTTGCTCTGTCACTCCGGCTGAAGCCCGGCAGTGCCGTTACAGCCCACTGCAGCCTCAACCTCCTGGTCTCGAGCCATCCTCCCACCTCAGCCTCCCAGGCAGCTGAGACCACAGGCACTTGCTACCAGACCTGGCAAATTTTTCTATTTTGTAGATGTGGGGTCTCACTCTGTTGCCCAGGCTGGTCTCAAACTCCTGGGCTCAAAAGATTCTCCCACCTTAGCCTCCCAAAGTGCTGGGATTCCAGGTGTGCACTGCTGCGCCTGGTGCAGGATTTTTATGCCTTTGTTTTTGACTTCTGCTGACCTTACCTTCCAGCCTGCCTCCCAGTCCTGAATACACTGCAGATGGCCCACAATCACCTGGAGACTGTGGAGGACATTCAGCATCTACGCAAGTGTTTGAGGCTCTGTGTCCTTGACCTTTCACACAACAAGCTGAGCGACCCGGAGATCCTGAACATTCTGGAATGCATGCCCGATTTGGTAAAAAAAAAAAAAAAAACAAAAAAACAAGAAAGCACCACAGAAAACCACTTCCATTATGTTCATTAAATATCAAGTCTTTTTTGTCTTTTTTCTCCTTCCTGCTTTCCTTCCTTTCCTTTTTCACACTTTTTTCCTCTTTGTGTTTTTAGCTGGAGTCTTTGAAATGCCAGATGTCATATTATTTTACCCACAAATAGTTCAGTGTGCACCTATGACAGATAAGGACTTTTTTTTTCTTGAGATGGAGTCCCGCTGTGTCACCCAGGCTGGAGTGCACTGGCGCAGTCTCAGCTCACTGCAGCCTCTGCCTCCCAGGCTCAAGCAATCTCCTGCCTCATCCTCCTGAATAGCTGGGATTACAGGCATGTGCCACCATGCCTGGCTAGTTTTTGTATTTTTAGTAGAGACTGCTTTTTGCCATACTGGCCAGGCTGGTCTCGAACTCCTGACCTCAGGTGATCCGCCCACCTCAGCTTTCCAGAGTGCTGTGCTGGGATTACAGGCATGAGCAACTGCGCCCTGCCCAGATAAGGACTTTTTAAAGCATAATCACAATCCTATTGTAGCTAGAATGTTATAATCACCACACTGAATGCCCAGTCCACATTTGTTTTCCATTTGTCTCAAAAATATGTTTTGACAGTTGTGTTGTTCCAATTCAAACGAGATTCAGACATTACATTTGGTTTATTTGTCTTGTCATTCTCTTTCGATCTATAACAGTTTCCCTTCCCTGATTTCCTCCCACCCAATTAATTTTTTTTCTTTTGAGACAGCATCTCGATCTGTCACCCAGGCTGCCGTGCAATGGCACAGTCTTGCCTCACTGCAACCTCTGCCTCCTGGGTTCAAGTGATTCTCCTGCCTTAGCCTCCCAAGTAGCTGGGATTACAGGTGCTTGCCACCACGCCCACATAATTTTTGTATTTTTAGTAGATTTGGGATTTCATCATGTTGGCCAGGCTGGTCTTGAACTCCTGACCTTAAGTGACCTATCCAGCTCAACCTCCCAAAGTGCTGGGATTATAGGCATAAGCCACCATGCCCAGCCACCACTCAATTTTTCAAGGAAACCAAGTCCTCTGTCTGGTGTTACCCACATTCTGCATGTAGCTGATTGCATTCTTTTGGGGCCACTTAACATGTTCTGATGGCTCTGGTATTTCCTGTAAAATGATATCAGAGCTAGAGGCTGCATGGTATCCAGGCTGAATATTTCTCCTTGTGGTGTGCCAGGTCCTTCCACTGCCAGGTCCTCACATTGGGGAGCACGTGAGGCCTGCTTGCTTCTGCTTTTCATTTGAAGATTCGCTAATAGGTTCAGATATTGTCAGGCTGGTCCAGCCATTTTGAAGTTCCCCATCACTCCTTCTCCCGGTTATTTTAGCAGCCACTGATGAACGTTTCCTAGATGAATTATTTCATTAGGAGCCACACAATGACAATTTTCCAGTTATCTCACTCTCTCAGCATTTATTTAGCTAGAATACTTCAACGAGCTTCCACTCGCCAGCTAGTGGTTCATCCAGTTCATACAGAAAAGGCCAGGATTGGGCCGGGCGCGGTGGCTCAAGCCTGTAATCCCAGCACTTTGGGAGGCCGAGGCGGGTGGATCACGAGGTCAAGAGATCGAGACCATCCTGGTCAACACGGTGAAACCCCGTCTCTACTAAAAACACAAAAAATTAGCTGGGCATGGTGGC